AAAAAAAAAAAGGAGCTTTAAACCTCACTTTTATTTGAAAATGCAGGATTTATTCTGCTTGTTTCGCTGTTTGGTGAGTCACTAACCTAGAACAAGCATGCAACCACAATACCTCATATAAACATACCTGTTTTAGGTAACTGTAGTGGTGACGTAAGGACAAGAAAGACAGTGACGGTTTCCATATTTCTATCCCTTGAAAGGCTCCTATTCATTGTTTTTCAGTTTGATCATAACTCAGTAGTGTCTTTTTGTTAAATTTGATTGCGGTTTAGAAGATAAAATATGGGATAAGTAACACATAATTAATGCACTTTTAAAGAAAAGTAAAATAAGAAAAAAAATTTGGTGCATTTTTACTATAATCATAAATTGAAAACAATTGTTTAACCACACCATACACATTAAAGTTTGATAAGATAATTCAATAAAATGTCATTCAACTCCTAATATTCTGTTTGATCTCAGAAATTCCAAACACATCTTACTAAAAAAAAATACACATGTTGTAACCTTGGAACAATCGGATTAATATATCAAACAAATATTATGTTGCGCATTAGCATTTTTTAGATTTAAGCAGATTGTAATATGTGTGATTTAGTTATTAAGTTGTACAAAGTGTTCTTATAGCTGTCATTGAGATTGTAAAATCCACAGGCAGGAGCAGTCTGTGGGTGCCCCTACAACCCCCACTGCCAGTGATGGAAGCAGGATTTAAAGATTTGGTGTTAGTGAAAATATGCTTTAACATTTTCAACCCTAGTGATCATGTTTACTATTATATGCAAATACCAGAAATCCAGTTCCTTTGTGGATCCGGTTCCTTTGTGATCTTTGGGGGAGAAAGTGAAGGGAAATATCTCCTAATAGTGACAGAGTCAGTAGAAAATAAATTATGTTTCTCTATCACGCACAGCTTTGATGATAGTAAAAGACCTGGGATTATACTGCTGCATACAGGAAAAATGGACACAAAGCACATAGAAAATTGGAGGTCAGACCCCTTGAGGCTATACCCTCCAACTACCATCAACAGCCACTGGTAAATTCAAGCCGGATATTGGAAATCTGGAAAGTCTCTCCAGTTGGCCAAGTGCAGGTTTTCTCAGCTCATTAAGTATGCTGATGTTTTCTGCGTGACAGTCCTGCAGTCAGCACTGACAATCCTGTATGTGTTCCATTTAGCGCAGCGCTCTGCTATTCAGGTCAGGCCAGTTTATCTGGGGGACCCCTTGCAGCTATTGGGACCAGAACTGTGGCTATTCACTGTGCACTCTGAAGACTCACTTTTTGAAAGTGACGTGCAGGCCTATGTTGTGTCGAGGATTTATCCTTTTTCTTTCCCTGTGGCTTTGAATGTGTGACCAGGCTGTATCCGGCTGAGTGTGTGTGTGTGTGTGTGTAAAGGGGTTTGATTCTTCTTCCTCTGTACTTGCTTATACATTTTATGTAGGTTTTGTTTAATCTAACTTTTTGTGTATAGGGAGCCCTCCTCCTTATCCAAACTAGGGAGTGGTGTACACTTTTTTGTTTTTAGTCTGGCGGTTGGGTGCTTGATGCCCAAACTGCCATTTTGAATTTCCCACCTATGTCGTCTTCCTATGATTAAAACGATGATGCATCACTTCTGAGTGATTAGCACTGATTCCTAAAAGCTGCAGAAGCCTTTACTGATTTTATGTCTGCACTATACAGAAGGGTGGTTGTCCTATGGCTGCAGGTGACACAGTGGGGCTGATTTACGAAGCCCAACACGCACACGCGCAGGCTGCGTGAACTCAGGGAATTATTGCATTCTCTGTGCTCTTTGTACAGATGTCAGTTGAAACAGCCTCTGCCGACTGTGCTACCACAGGAGCCTGTCTTTTGTCTTCCTTATTGTAGTTTTTATTAGACATGTGCACTGCCAAAAAATTTGTTTAGTTTCGTTTTGTTTTAAATTCGGATTTGTGTTATTTCGTTTTTCAGGATTCGGGTGTGAAAGTCAATTCGGAATTCGGACGAAATTCGGTAGCGTTAGTACGAACGTTCATTTCGTTTTCTGTTCTTATTCGTATCTTATTCGTTCGTTTGCAGCAAAAGTGACATTTGAGGGGGGAAAAATATTTTTCTCCTTCTCTAATGTCACTTTGCTCCAACAAACGAATAAGAAACGAATAAGAACAGAAAACGAAACGAACGTTCGTACTAACGCTACCGAATTTCGGAAATGGAAATTCGGATTCGATTGCATTCGTTATGTCTGTAATTCGGATACGTCCGAATTTCCGAAAATTCGTCCGAATTTCGATTCGGAACTAAACGAATCGCACATGTCTAGTTTTTATATTCTTCTCTTTCCCTTCCCTGTTGGTGCTAGTCAGTACAGTCTTCCAATACAGACCACACTGACAAGAAGTTGCAGGCAATTTCTTGATCCATCTACTTGTTAGGGTCTGCCTTTCAACTGCCTTGCCTACATCTCATTCCCAGACTTTGCCTTTCCCAAATTTATAGACAGCAACTAGACACTCAATTTATTAATTGCATTGGCTAGTTGATTGTCATGTTAAAGACGAACTCCAGGAATTTGTTTTATTAACCCTTGAAGGGGGCTACCCCCACATTGCAAGGGTCAAGTGCTTGTTTGTGTCTAGGTGCTAAAAAACAAAACTATACTCACCTAAAGCTCCAAGCTGGCTAGCTGTTACATAGCTTCCTGCAGCGTTGGAATCCTCTTCAGTGTCCCACACTGTATAAACATTGATAATTTACGGGACCTTAGACCACTGCGGAGGAGGAGGAGAGACATTGGAAGGACCAAGTCTAAGAAGAAGCCAGCTCAAAGCTCCGGGTGAGTGTAACTTTTTTTTTTTTTTACCTGGACACAAACAAGCAATTAACCCTTGCAGTGCGGGGGTAGCCCCACTGCAAGTGTAAATTTTTAAAAAATCCTGGAGTTCTTGTTTAAGCTTTATGTGTGACACATCACTGGATGCTGACTGATTTATGTCTCAGGTAAGCCTTTCTTCTGTCCAGATCCACAGGGAACTCTGGCTTGAGTGCTAGTTGATGAAGCAACAGTATTAGCAGGCCTTGCCATGCTACACTTTTCGGGAGACTTTTTGTCTCTTTGCTGGACAAATAATTTATTTTGCAGTTGGGGAGGAGGTTCAATTATGCAGGTCAATACTCAAAGCATTCCTATTGTTCCTCTAGTCAGGTTCCAGTTTCCATATGTCTTCTTTCACCCTCTTGGGCTCAAGGAGATCTAAACTTTCTTAGCAAATCCACACCTGCATGACAGTCTGTCCCCCCCAAAGTTTTTACGGTGACAGGGAGACTGATTATGGGTTCTGTGCAGATTCGGGAAACTCACATAGTTGATTTGAGGGTGCCAGAGTTAGTAACCGAATGTTACAAATAGAGCTTCTCTTTTTTTCCTCCACCTCAGTGTTTTGCTTTGCATCTTATCATGTCACAGCAAAGTTAGACAGGCTTCCTTTTAGCTACTCAGATATTAGAATTACACATATCTATCTTTTTAGGTCTTAAGTGCTTTCTTTGCTTTTCTGGAACTGCTGCAAGAGCACACATCTCTAGCATGAACTCCAATGTGTTATTCATGATGTGGACCTTGGAGAACTTTGAGTGGATCCTGTATTTCAAGTAGTAATCCCAGTTTCTGGCACATCCCTTGAAGTACTTGGACCTTCTCCTGGATAACCTTCAGGCCTTCCTTTCCAAAGAGAACTTGACAAATCTGTAGAATCAGGTTTGGCAACTTCAAACCCAATGTCGTTTTTTCCTGCAGAGCTGTATGTGAGTGCTGGGATTGATGGCTTCACTTTCTAAACTGGCCTCTCTGTTGGATATATATATATATATATATATGCCCGGACCTATGCTTTTCCTTCACTGATACTTTTAAGTCTACTTCCAAGGATTGAGGCCAAGAGCATTCCAGCCATTCTCAAAGCTCTGGATTGGCCTCAGATAGTGTGATGCACCTAACTTGTTTGTCTGTCAGTCGGCACTCTATGGCAAAGAGCTCCACTGTTCGTATTCCCTTACAACCTTGAGATTTCAATCTAGTATTGTGATTGTTAAAATAAACTTCCTTTCAAATCTATTTGAGTCATATCTTTGTTGTTGCTGTTCTGTAAGGTGGCCTTTTTTGTGGCCATCACTTCAGTCAGGAGGTTTTTGAGTTATCAGCATTGTCCTTTAAGGTGACGATTTGATTCCACAGAATGATAATGTTTTTTTTAGACCAAGAACCTCCTTTTTACACAAGATGGTTTCTGCTTTTTACTTAAATGAAGAAGTTGTGTTGCCTTTCTTGTCACCCCAAGAAGATTTCACTCCATTACTTGGATGTGTTGGGGGCCATCAGAATTTACCTTTCTGCCGCGGCTTCTTTTAGGTAGACTTTTTTTGTAATTCCAGAAGGTCTCCAGCTTCTAGTTCCTAGTTCCATTATTTCTATGTGTGTTTAACAGGTTATTGTGCAGGCATATGATTTTGAAGCTAACGTGCCTCCTTTTCCCATTTAGCCACTAGGACAGTTCCGCAAATCCCTCAGTTTGGACTGATTTGGGATATCCCTAGGTTGCTTATTACCATCAAAGCAGTGTCCCTCTATGGATGATGAAAAGCCCATTGAGGGACACAGCTTCCTTCTATCACATTCTATTGTTTTCTCTTTGGACTGCTTGATTAGAAGCAGTATAACCCTAGGCTGTTTATTATCTTCAAAACTGTGTCTCTCAATAGAAGTTTACTTTATAGTACACAAAAAAATCCTATTTTTATAAGTTAAATGGGGAAAGGGAAATGGTCTGCTTTTTATTGCTGTGCATGTCTTTGTTGGACAGTTTTCAACTCACATTTTGTGTGGACCCCAGAACAGGTACACTGACATGGATAAAACATGACCATAGCATATAAAAAGGTTTTGGTTTGAGTTGTACTTTAAAAATGCAAACTTAAAATGTGGTGTTTTTGGTCCTTTTTAGATCTGTCAGCACTGGCTAAGCCAATGTTTCTGGAATTACTTGGACTGGAGTGAGATATGTCACTACTTTGCTGTGTGTATCCTTCTTGGGGTGGATTATCAGGTATACCTGTGTATAGCAATATTCAGGCACCTTCAGCAAGAAATCCTACAACACACACAAACCCAGGACCTGCAGGTCTTCCTGAAAGTGAGTATATCTAAAAACAATTAAATACATCAAAATTACATCTTTGATAAACTCATGACTATACATTATATCTACCCAAAATAAGGCAATTTGTATAAATGCAAATACATGTGAAAAGATAAACATACAATTCATATTATGTGTCTGTCCTGGTACACAGAGCCGCTTAAAAGGAAACCTGTCACCCCTGAATACAGTGCTAACTGAAGTTATGTTTATGAAGTATATAGTTAAGAGCAAGTACGTAAATAGAAAATCTTGTATGAGTCTGCCACTCCAACCCTGTGGTACAGGCACCTCTCACAATACACACATTTTGGATGGGATGCAGCACTGTATGGTGCAAGTTTCCCATCAGTCTTCAACAACCATGGGGGTTTTCAAACTATGTAGGGAATTATCTGACAGAACCTGCCCTCTACAAGTGACAAAGCCTGCAAAAATGGCAGCAGCGGTAATGGACAAAATTAGAACCGTGGGAACTGCTTGAGATGTTTATTTTAGTCCCTTTTCACCTACACATATTTGGTCTACACAAATATGGGGGAACCTCACAGACCTTACTAGTATGACACCAGCATACTGTATATAGAATGTGCCGATAACTGGCCATAACCATAAAAATATTTCCATGCTTCTTGTCGGAACAAACACATTTTGTTACCAAAATCTAATCCCTAAACTGCTGTTTGTAAAGCTGACAAAGCCACAATTTTTTATAGGTGTGCACATATCAGAACAGATTCTGCACTGTTTACTGTCCATTAGCTAAAACGTAGGCAAATGACAATAAAAATAAGTTATATGTAACTATGTATACCTAAAAAACATTTAAAAGTACTGTGAAGTTTAAAATGTCCTGTAGGCTGTTGTGAAGAGTTCATATGCCTACCTCAGTTAGCCTCATTTATAAAAACTGAGGCAACGAAGACGATGCCTCTGCCCTTGGGAACCAGTCGGATTCCAACTGTCACTTTTACAGGGAGGGTCAGAAATAAAAGCTGACACCATATTACTTGCTTTAGACAAAAACAACCCTGTTTATTCTTTGCCTAGATTTCTTATTTTTTATTATTTAAATTAGCCCCACTGTGTGTTCTAGCCTTGGTATTTTCTAGTTTTATTGTATTTTCTACTCGGTGTCTAGTAGTAATAAAAAGAAAAATGTAAACGTCGTATCTTCATATTCCTCTGCAGAAGCTGCTTCAAATGCATTCCCCATTTACCTTTTAAAACATGCAGCCCAAACAAACTAAACAGCATTGTTTCTGAAATAAAATGTTGATTTCTATGTAAAATGCAACAGCTCAGCATGTCCCCCTAACTATTTGCATATGCAAAGAGTAGTGACAAATAATTCTCAGAGGAAGGGCAAGGGTGTTTTTTTGTGGAACAGGCTGTGGTTTGACACCTCCTCTGTGCTGCTCAAGAGGGAAGATGGTAGCGCTAAATGGACGATTTTCTTGCAGGATCATCTGGTAATATATTTGCACCCATTTTTCATCTCTGAGCTGTTTAAAGGCTGAATTATTTATATTTTGCAGTGGAATTTTAAATATAGACAGAGGACATAAAGATTATCTTGGAAATTTGATCTGTCGTGTACACTTTGCGAAACCTGCATGAATATGCTTTCTGGCATTTTAAAATATAAAGCAACAACATACAAAAAAATCTACCTTTTTATTTTTAAAAGCTCCTATTAAATGACTGCACCTAGGCATAAGATGAGTCAGAATGTTATTCTGCCACAAACAGAAGAAATCTTCACTAAAGTGGTCATTAACTGAGACTGTTGCACATGCAAAAACAAACAAAGAAGACAGCACCTTCTCCTCGTGTGATAACGTTTATTCAAATAAAATCTATTTGAAGCGTAAAAAGCTACTCACATATAGATAATGGGAATGAGCAATATGATGCACAACAGGCCCAAGAAAGAGCAAACTAGCTGATGTGTTTTGGGGAGATCCCCCTTCAAAGCTCTGAAGAAGGGTGATCTTCCCCGAAACACATCAGCTTGTTGGCTCTTGGGTCTGTTATGTATCGTATGATATATATGTATGCATGTTATGTGAGGACACTTCCCAGTGGCCTTGTGGGCGGCAGCCTCTACTCTACTGGTTGGAGGTGACGAGTGGTGAAGAATTTCTGAGCTCTGGTCGGCTGAGCGCTGTGGCGTGGAGTTTTCTGGAATTGGAACTGTTGTACAATTGTATCTTTTTGTTAGAACACAAGGTGACAGAGGCAACATGTGTACACAATGCCAAGAATATAAAGACTACAGTTCAAGCTCAAGCTAATAAACCAATGTGAGTTTTACACTTATACATTGTTTAACACATACGCAGTGAACATAATAAAATCTCTAAGGCTATTCTTAGACATAAGATGGTGTTCACCAGAGTTCTTAGTGCTCTTTCATGTGAAATATTCCATAAACAGTAATGATTTTCTCTGTCAAAAAAGTTGAAAAACACTTAAAAAAACATTTACATGATGATGTCAGATAAAATTGATTTGATGCTGCCTGCTAAAGTACGTACATACGTGTGTTGCATAGCTTGTAAGAGGGATAAACAAATACGCAGACAGATTGCTCATCTGATGAAACAAAATTAATTCAACTGCACACATTTATTTTTCTGGGGATGTTTGTCTATGGAAAATATTTTATGTTTAATGAAATCTTGTATGAGTCAACATTTGGCTTCACATTTATTCAGATTGCATCTATAGAAATCTGTGCAATGGAAGAATATGTATATAATAGGGGTGCAGAAATTAACGATTAATCCGTCGATTAATCGTTTGTATGTTGAATGGCGGCTGATATATTGCCTGAGGCTGCCGCCATTCAACATACATTCTGGACCTCTTGATCCTCCTCACAGGCCGGTTCACATCTGGTTCCCAGACCCACATAAGTAAGTACATTATACATATATATTTATTGTTCCTGTCATCTTCCCTGATATGTTCGGTCCAGGCAGTCAGCTGACCTAGTTTTGCGCCCTCTTGTTGTTCTAACAAGGCTGGTTAGACCCCACAAAGCCCTGCTACCCTGGTGAGGCCCCCTGAAAGCTCTGGTGAGAGCCCCCTCTGTATGTGCGTTATAATTAATCGAAATTAGTCGATTGATCGATTAAAAAAAATTTGATTAATCGAACAGGAAAATTGTAATCATTGCCAGCACTAGTATATACCATTTTATACAAGCATTTAGAAAGGTAGAGAGCTAGATAACAGCATAGTTATCAGAATTGACATGCCTGCTTTATGTCTTCTAATTTAGGGATTACAGTAAACTTATGCTTTGCCCATGCAAAGCAACGGAGCCCCTAATTTACTGCCTTTCTCTGCTGCTTATGCTCACCCCCTATTTACTCCCCCTCTGGTTTATTTGCGTTTTGGTTTATGGTAAGGTAACCAAGTACTCTCAAATATGAGAGAGCTTGTGACACACTCCCCTTTCTTCCTTGATGCAGTGCTGTGTGCCTAAGCCACTGTTTACTTAGCCAGAATATAGAGTTGTGTCACATGGGGCAGGGAGAGAATCCAAAGCCCTGTGTAAGCTCTAAATCCATATCTGGTCTTGTGGACGAACAGGAGAGAAAGGCAGGTGAATGTAAACATTAGGAGGGTTATTCACAAAAGGGTGAAGAGTTGGGAGAAGGCAGGAGAAGTGAACAATCTAGGAAAAAATTGCTAAACTGGAAAGTGAGCTGAATTGGGAGATTTCTCCAAATCAACTATGTTGTCCTTTATTGTTCACTTCTCCTGTCTTCTCCAAACCCTTCACCCTTTTGTGAATAACCCTGTAGGAGTGCCTGGCAATCAAGCGAACCTGTTGCTTGGGCAATGCACAGGTTCATATTGGAGCAAAGCTGGGGGCAGAATCACTCAATTCTAGAGCAGATTGAGATGTAGAATTCACTTTTAACTTTCCATGCTGGAATTGGCAAGCAATTAGTAATGGAAAATCAAGAATTCTGAAGTCTTCCAGAAAAAAAGACGCTATCAGTTTGTCTATTCAGGGCAAAGTGACTGTGTCTGTACATAGGTGCCACCCTCAGGCATGCATACTTACCCAGCCTTGCTTCTCTCCACCTCCCCACTTCAGTAGTACCAAAAATCTATGTTCCACTGTTGACTGATGCTGAAGCTTTAACAGGAGAATGTTTTTGCAGTACACCCCCTCATGGGATGGTGTTCATTGAGTGCATGCCTAGGCCCAAGTCATATAGGGGAGGTCATGTTCTCTCCTTTGCCTGAAAGCTACAATCAGTTAACGAGGACATAAGGCTGGTTTGCTGAGCACGTATACAAGTCTCTGGGGGTGCTGTGTGCAAACGCTTTCACTTTGCGTTTAATGGACAATTTTGCAGAAAGGTAACAGGTCTGTTCCTGGCCTTTGCAGAGAATTATAGAACATGGGCAAGCAAATTTAGTGATGTCGCCTTTCTGCTTTAGCCTGCTGATTGAACGAAAAAAGAGCAGCTGTATTTTGAGGAAGTTATCTCTGTGATTTCCCTACCTGTTAGCATGTTCAAAATATCAAACTGACAGCACTGTTATTATAGTAGAGCCTGACTGGCATCTTGTGCTGAACCTCCATTCCTATGCAGAGTAATACAGGAAGCTTATGTACTGTACTGTAAACACACCTTCAGGTATTCATACAAGCTGTATGTACAAAATGCATTCAGTGATGTTTTTTTCAATTAATATATAAAAAATTGTTATACTTGCTTAGAGTGTTCAGCTTTTATGCCTCTCACATTTTTTGTTGTGGTTAGCGCCGGGGATTGCTTTTTGCATTGTGTTAAAACACCAGCCATTAAAACAACCATAAATAAATATAATAATAAGTGGCAGATATATTTATTTTACCATGTTTCTATGGTTTTAGCCAAAGAAGGGTATACAGAGATAGAATTTTGTTCGATAGTTCAGTCATTTTTGGAACTTTTAATTTACTAATATTTAGTAAGGTCGAT